TGGTAAAACTAAACAAATCTCTTCAATTCACTGAAATTGTCCAGGAAATAACTGGGTGTTACTGGAATCATCTGTCATTAATGCTGTTTAAAATTCAAATCCCTGAAAATCTTTCTTGCCAACTGAGAAAGCAAAGAATATTAAATTTTTCATTACAGAAGCATAATTAACAAACCCTTCTGATTCATATGATGAGATCAGTATGTTGCAATCATTGTTAAATGAATTAAACATAGCTTACTTCTTTATTTTAATTTTTTCAGGAGTTTGCAGAAATAGTCAATTATAAAAGAGTATTTGAAAGAATGACTTAACTTTAGATTTAGATATACATATGCATTCTATTTATATTTGGTAGAGGAAAAATAGAATAGAAAGATATTTCAACATGTATGTAGAGCTAGGGCTAGGGTCTGGAGGTCACAGACCCCTCGAGCCTGTTCACAAACCCTTCACACACAGGTCTACGAGTTAGGTAACAAGAGAAGGTCCTTGGAGCCTTGGTTGAAGAAAGAATAGTTTTTATTCAGCACAAGCACATCTAAGAGCTAGGCAGTCCAAAGAAAAACTGAGCAGCTGCCAGCAAAGTAAACATACTCTTTATAGACATGAACTCTGCCTAGCCCCTCCTTCACACACTGAAGAACACACAAGAATAGCAACAAACAAAAGGATAGACAGGTGCACATGAGCACTAACTCCACCCCCACACAACTTGTTTACAAAGAATGTGCTGCACCACCCCCAACCAGACCTGAGGTGTGGGGGCCTGACTAAACTACTCTATTTTTCCCACAATGTAAATCCAGATTTTTTTGTTTGTTTGCTAGTTCATCTATGCTGGTCTAAACACATAGAAGAGGTAGGCACCTGAATGGCTGGATTCCAGGGGCAACCAAACATCCCATCAGTCCCTTTATAGCAAATGACCTAAAATTCTCAGTAGTAGATACACAATGGAAATATACACATAACCTGTTAAGGACATATCATCTTCTGGCATGATTTAGTAAATCAGTTTAACTCAAAATAATGGGATATGGAAATAAAAACTTGAATTGAAGGCATCGGGCCTGGGAAAATTTAATACCAAAAGGTGTGTCTTTGTGGTAGGAAGGATAGAAACTACATATTT